ATTTGTTCATTTTGAATGAGAGATAATCCTGATGCCCACATTGTCTAGTCAAGTTCAAGATTATATGTTCCTTTGGGCTATACTTAATGCCTGTATAGGCAAGTCCAGCTTAAGGGTGGGTATATTTTCTCTGGGTGACTATATGGGCAAGAGAAAATTTTAGCTGATCATTATTGCCTTATAATGTATGTTAGCTATTAGTAAAATGGTTTACTAAGTCACTTATAGAAAGATAAGTGAAGTTACAGCTTGCCTGGAACTCTAATCACCATGAAGTTTTCATAGCTGAGTCTAAATCAAGGCTGGGCCTGTCTCTGTCTTAAATCTAAAGGCATCATCTAGGTGGCTCATCTTCTCTGCTCTGATGCAGAATTTTTTTTATTAGGCCACATGGTTATTTAATTTTTAGGTTCAAAGGCAGATTTTCTGAATGTTGGATCTTGGGGTCTACAGTCTCCGATATTAGATTTTCTAGTTCTGGTTTTGTTTTGAATCCAAGTTTAAGCCATCAAGTAAATTTAACAGCTACTGCTTTGAGCTTTAACTGTCTTGAAGGCATTTGGAGGGCATCTACTGAGTGGGAGAGGCTGTATGCCTCTCACGGAAGACCTCAGATTTCTAAAACACAGAATTCCACACTGGCAGTTGGAAACATGACATTTGTTCTAAGTAGGCTGTACCTACATGAGAAAAATCAAACTAGATTTGTACAGTTGCTTTCCCACAAATTGTCTTTGCTGAGAAAATGGACAGGATTGTGATATTTCTCATCACTAAAACCGAAATAGGCACACTTGATCTTTTATGCATTGAAACAACTTTTTCTCTTTTTGTTTTTATTACAGACACCCTGTAAGTTTGGTCAAAATCTGCTTATCAAAACCTAGTTTTATCCTGCAGCATGGAAGACCTAGTTCACCTTGCTTTCCTTAATTTCCCATACTTGAAGGAATTTATTTCCTCTTGGCGGGGGGAGGTTGTGAAGGATATTGGTGTCACCAAATCTCTCAGTGTTTTGTGACTTGGAGATTAGGGCTTGGGTAGAGGGAGTGGCAACACTGAAAATGCAGGTAAGAGAACTTACCTTGTGGTCAGAGAACTTCCTTCCCAGCTAAGGAGGTTATGTCATCCTGTAGGCGACATGGAGCCAGTACAGGGTTTGTCACAAGAGCTGATGTGACTGTGTTGGAATTTAAGAGTGGATTCAAAGACAGCAACCTGGACAGAAGTTAAGTATGAAGGCTTGAGCAATGGTCCAGCCCAATATGATGAGATTGCTGATGCTGTGGGGTCCAGAGGAGGGGTGGGATTAGGAGATAAATATGTATCTCGCCATCTTTCTGGATGTTGTGGGGATAGAAGACTGAGGAATGTAGTCTTAGGGGCACGGAAGGGCTGAACATGGCATAAAGCAGGGCTCCCTCTCTCTGTCGGCACTGGGTTGTCTTCTCTGCCCTGCCTTGCTGCTGTCCACAGCTTCCCTTTGCTCTCCTGTACTCCTGTCTTGCATCAGCCAAGGTTGGGGGAGGTCTGAAAGATCAGCTTTGTTTTTTTTCCAACTTGTACTCTGAACCCTGTTAGCCAACAGTATTGGCACTGCCTCATGGTCACAGTCAGTCCCAAATTAAACAACCTCCTTATGAAATCCTACAGGTGGGCTGTGGCTTTGTGCCTCTGAGTGTTTCCTCCCACTTGTTTTGGTCCAGCAGCCATGCTCTGTTGAACAAGTGAGAAAGTGCAGTCCGTGTCCCAGGGTTTTCTGCTCGGTGGGGCCAACCACAAATGTGGCCAAGTGTAAATCAATAGTTGTGAGCCATCTCTGTCTATGGCCTTCAGGAAGGCACATCCTGTTATCCCAAGGGAATGTTGATGCATGATTTTCTTCTCCAAGCATGTTAACTACAGAAATCCTTTCAGTCCAGAGTGCACAGTCTTCATAAAATGAATTTGTCATGATTGGAAAAGTGTTGTTGTTGTTAGGGGAAAGATAACAGAGCTATTCTTTGAGCACTGTATGCTCAGAGTGCAAAGGCCCCTGCTTACTATTAAATTGGATTTCCTGGGGGATGATTTTGGTGATGCCATGTTCTTGGTGCTCCTGAAATGACAGTGGGAGAGAACTTTTTTAGTTTGATGGCAAAATTATTTGCACTGCATTGGATTCAGAGAAACAAATACGGAGCTTTCCTCAAACACATGAAACGTAAGAGTCAGCCCCGGGACCACCCTGGAACTCCTCAGACCCTAAGTGGCTAGCAGCCAGCTGGCTTCCCTAGGCTTGGCAGTTACCCCCTGAGGAGCCGCTTGTCCTGGGGAAGTTGGTTGGCTTGTCAGGATGCCCAGTGTGGTTGAAGTGTGAGGTGACTAGAATTCTCTGGGAGGCCATTTTGGCCCATTTGTCTGTTGCTATAACAAATGTGTTAGTTCAGACAACTGGATCATCTGATGAGTAGAAATTCAGTCTACACATAGGGATTAACTATTCATTGTTACCCTTGCCACAGCTTCTTTGACAGAAGCAAGGGGAAAATAAAGTCACTCAGTGTTAAGACAGGGGAAAATGATTTCTAATATGTAAAGAGAATCCCTTGTTAATTTGGATTAGGTTACTTTATTAGATATGGTACAACGTCTGAAAGTTCAGAACAGATGATTTCTGACTTAAAAATCGGGAGATTTTTACCTGTAGGAATTCTAGCAGTCTTGGGACATGTGCCAACTCAGAAGCCAAAGCCAAAGGCCAGTTTGGTTTAAGTAATTGCAGCTGGCAATTATGGCAGTATTTATTGCATGCCATGCACTTTGAGAGGAACAGAGAACACAGACCTGCTGTCCGTGAGTTATCTTGGCGAAGAGGCAAGACAAAGACACATGAAACAATTCCAAATAATAGTGAAAGATTATGTCTTAAACTGTTCATATGCACAAAATCTGAACTAGCACAGTTTGTAACTGCAGGACATGTCAGGGCTACAGAAGTCTGTTTTGAGAGAAAGACAAGATTTGAGGGAGAAAACAAGAAGATCCTCCAGGTGAAGGTAACAGGACATAGTTTATTATTTTTAATGAATGACAGAGAAAGAATGAGAGAAAGATAGAGGAAAGACAGAGGAAGAGATTTTTCATTGGCTGATTTCACCCCCCGAATGAACCAGGAATCTGAAAGCCAGGAACCTGGAACTGGGTCTCCCACATGGGTGCAAGGGTTCAAGTACTCGGCCCATCTTTTGCTGCCTTCCTAGGCACACTAACAGGGAACTGGAACAGAATCAGAGCAACCAGGACTGGAACTGGCACTCCAATATGGGATGCCGGTGTCACACGCAGTGGTTTTACCCACTGTGCCGCGACGCTGGCCCCAACAGGACACAGTTCAAAGCAAGCAGCACTGAGATTGGCTTTTAGATGGGAGCACAAACAGTGGTTCAATCTGAGTAGTGTTTGCTGAGCAGCCACTGCACAGCAGGCACCATGCTTTAAAGATGAATGAGGTACAGTCCTCAGCCTCCAAGTCGCTGACAGTGTAACAGGGGTGAGTTAAGTTGGTCGCCAATCTTGGAACACAGGTGTCTCCATTTACAAGCTTTGGGAATTACAGTCTGGAATGGTGCTATCCTTGGAAATGGCACATAGGGCAGCCACCGATTGCAGAGTTGAGCTCCACCTGTTCCAGCACATTCTTGGCTCAGGGTGGTCACTCAGTGGCTGCAAACCAAGCCACTAGAACAGCAGTCCCTAAGAACCTGTTGGTGTGACAGCACCAACGAAATAGCCTCCCATGCTTTTCTGTCATTAGCCTAGTGGGCTCAGGCTTAAAGATATGTCAGCCTGTCTTGCCAGCTGCCCAAGAGTGAGAGAATAAAGTGGTGCTGTGGTGGGAGGGCCGGGCCTCTATCCTCCCAGGAAGGTCCAATTACAACCGTTGCTGGAACAGAAGGTCTTATTTTAAGAAGAAATCTACTCGATGCCAATGTAGTCAGGAAAACACTTTAAAAATAATTTCTATTAGGAATACACATTCAATATGGTCTTTAAAAATAGGACAATAATGAATGTTGCCTGTTTCTAAACACAAATGTCATTTAAGTGCTGCCAGTTTGCTTTGTTTGTTTCTGGGCTCTTGTGAGGTTCTGATGATAAAAGTGTACTTACTAAAATGACTTTAAAAATTATACCTCTGTCTGCAATTCAATGAAGTGACTCCTTTGGCAGGATTGGGTTGAATTTCGATAAACTCTTGCTGAAGAGTAAAGAAACTATGGAGCTGCTCTACTTAGCAGCTGATCCCTCTTCATATGCAGTGACCAAGTACCAGTAATGCAAGAAGAATGTGCTCTCTGGGTTTATCTGTTTTTGTCATTAAGGCTCCGCTAAGCTCATGAGCCCTTAATGCGGGCTTACCAGGGCTCTTGCCCTTGTCAGATGAGCCTTGCAGGCACTGCACACCATGTCACGCCTGGTGTCGGCATGGATCTGGGCTGTGGCAGAAAGCTCCTGACTGCCGAGCAACAAGGGAGCACTCATCTGTAGTGATAAAGCCCTGTGCATAGCCAGGCCCGGGAGCTTTTGGTATCCCTTGTTGGATCCCTAGGTAATTATTTAGCCTTTATATCCATGCCCAAGAAAGTCTTAAGCGATCTCAGTGTTCTTATAGTGTTTCCAGATAAGGAACCCCATCTGCAACAGAAAGAATGCCTGAGCTGGCTTATAACCAGCATGGGGATGATAGAAACTTAGACGAGAGGAGTGGAGTGGAACAGAGTGGGCTCCTGGTGGGTGCTCCGGTCTCCGCACTGTCTCCATTCCACTGGGTTAGGCCTCATGGGCATTAGTCCTAGATTTAATGCCAGTTGTCAGGGTGTCCTGGGGAAGGCAGTGATCGGAGATGTGGATTCAGAGGAATGGAGAGAAATCACTACAGTTTCCACCTGAGCAGGGAGATAAACAGGCAGGTCCCTTAATCTTTCACCATCCTGAATCCCTCATCTTTCCTTTCTCAGCGAGCAGAGCTGACATCTGATAAAGACATGTACCTTGACAACAGCTCCATTGAAGAAGCGTCGGGAGTGTATCCTATTGATGACGATGACTATGCTTCTGCGTCTGGCTCGGGTAAGGCTGGCTCCTTCGAACTGCTGGGCGCCATTCTGTCTATACGCACACACATTTCACTGTCCCTCCCTCAGGGAGACGGGCAGGAAGCACTGCCAAAGTGCCAGCAGTGAACTTTCGCTCTCCACCTCTCTGGGCTGGATTTCACTGATCCTCCGACTTCTCACTTATAAAATGGAAAGTAATAAGCATCCTTGTCACATAGAGCTGTTACGATGATAAAAGGAATTGAATTAGAATTTGGGTGCTTGGTACACTGTTTTCTACCAATGTTAGCTCTAGCTTTTTATGGTTTTTTTTTTTTTTTTTTTTTTTTTTTTTGTTTGTTTGGTTTGAAAAACAGAGAAAAACAGAGAGAGAAACTTCAGACAGACAGACAGACACAGTTCCGGTCCCATGTTTCATACCCCAGATGCCCACAATAGCTGGAGCAGGACCAGGCTGAAGTCAAGAGCTATGTATGAACTCAATCCAGATCTGCCATATGAGTGACAGGGAGCCAACTCCCTGAACTATCACTTCCTGCCTCAGGAGGGAGCCAGAATCAGGAGCCAGAGCAGGGGCTTGAACCCAGGTACTCCAACATAGGGTGCAAGCATCTTAACTACTAGGCTGCAAAGACCATGTGCCAGCTTTTAATTTTATTATTGAGAACTTCAGAAGGATGTCATGGAAACCCTTCAAGCAATGGCTCAAACACTAGTTTCATAAAACCACTTACTTACCCTATGTTAAAGATTATAGATGAGACCTATACATTATGCATTGCATATTGCATATATATATATATATATATACACACACACATAGTACAATGCTCTAAAGTAGGAGGGAAAATGTAGCAGCCAAGTAAAATGTTAATACAATGATATTCTCAACTTGCTTGGTGTACCAGGGTACTTCAAAAACTCTGGAAAATGGAATTAAAATACAAGTTTATTTTGGTGCAATTATGTTTTGAAATCTGTCATCTTTTTTATTTTTTATTTTTTAAAGATTTTATTTATTTGAAAGTCAGAGTTACAGAGAGAGGAGAGGCAGAGAAAGAGAGAGAGAGAGAAAGAGAAAGAGAGAGAGAGAGAGAGATGTCTTCCATCTGATGGTTTACTCCCCAATTGGCTACAACAGCCAGAGCTGCACCGATCCAAAGCCAGGAGCCAGGAGCTTCTTCCAGGTCTCCAACAAGGGCCCAGGGGCCCTAGGACTTGGGCCATCTTGTGCTGCTTTCCCGGGCCATAGCAGAGAGCTAGTTGGAAGTGGAGCAGCCGGGTCTCGGGTCTCAAACCGGCGCCCATATGGGATACCGGTGCCCCAGGCCAGGGCTTTAGCCCGCTGCACCAGCGGGTTACTGGCCATCTGTGTTATTTTTTTTTAAAATGATTTATTTATTTGTTTGAAAGAGTTAGAGAGAGAGAGAGAGATCTTCTATCTGCTGGTTTACTCCTCAGATGGCTGCAATGACTTGGGCTATGCCAGGCTGAAACCAGGAGCCAAAAGCTTCCTTTAGGTCTCCCATGTGGTACAAAGACCCAAACACTTGGGCCATCTTCCGCTGCTTTCCCCCAGCCATTAGCAGGAAGCTGGATGGGAAGTAGAGCACTCAGGACATGAATTGGGATGTGTTGCAGGTATTGGCTTTACTTACTGCCCCACAACAGTAGCCCTGAAATCCATGATCTTTTAAAAGTTTGTGGAAAATACATGTTATGGAAAAACAATAAATGGATTTCAAAAAATTTTTTTCCCAAAATAAACATTTTTATGAACTTTTTAAAGTATCCATCACATTAGGTATCTGTTACCTTTGCAGTGCTACAGAACAAGCCACCCAGAACTTCATGGCGTAGAGCAAGATTCATTCATCTAATTCATTATTCTTCATGCTGGTGATGTAGGCTGGGCTCACAGGGCTTCTTCACATGCTGGTTGTCAGCTGCAGGTCGGATATGCAGCCTTGCTGTTCTTGGCCGGACTCTCTCATATCCCTGGGACTGCTGAGCAGACTTGGCACTGGTCGACATAGTGTCTCATCCTCCAGGTGGCCAGCCATTTGTTCACAGGGAGAGAGGCGGGTACCTCAAGGTAGCAAGTGGAAGTGTGCAAAGCTTCTTGTAGCCTGGGCTTATAACTTGGCCCGGTGTCATTTCTGCTGTGTTTCATAGGTCTCAGCAAGTTGGAAGGTCCACATTTCAGTGGAGGACACTACAAAGTCACATGTAGAATCAGTGGGTACAGGAGGGATAAAGACTTCTGGTCATTTTGCCATCTACCATACTTGGTAAATATTTTACCTGTGCCAGAAACAGCCCCCAAGAAGCTGAGAAAAAGGGAGAGCTTGTACACTTGTTTAATTAGTGGTCAGGCTGGGAATTTGTGGTCAGCAGCATTCCAGGGAAGTTTATCCAGACTTTCCTCTTTTTTTAAGTTTATTTATTTGAAAGGCAGAGTTACAGAGAAGGAGAGACAGAGCGAGAGTGAGGGATATCTTCCATCTGCTGGTTACTGCCCAATGGCCACAACATCCAGGGCTGGACCAAGCAGAAACCAAGAGCCAGGAACTCCACCTAGGTCTTCAGTGTAGGCGGCAGGATCCCAGGCACTTGGACCATCTGCTGCTTTCCCAGACACCTTAACAGGGAGCTGAATCAAAAGTAGAGCAGATAGAACTCCAGCCAGCACTTATATGGGATGCTGGTGTTTTAGGTGGTGGCTTAACCTGAGCCGCAAACTGGCCCCTATCCAGACCTTCCATACTTGGGGTTTTTATTACAGATTTGACAGATGCTAAAGGCTAGTCTGAGCTTAGATGTCTGGCAACCAGATTGACCTAGGCTCAGAATGACCCAGAACAAATTAAAACAACTGTGTCTTTGATAGAGATCTAACCATATAACAAATGAATGTTTTAAGCTGGAAAATGGCAAGTCTGAGAAAGACAAGCGTGGTGGTGGCTGACCTAGTAACGATGAGTTTACAATGCAATCCTAATGTAAAAATAGCCCCAGTTATTCCTGGGAGAGTGATATATATCACACACGCAGTGAGTGTGAGTGTGAGAAGAGTTGTTTTCTATTGCCCACAAGCCTATTAATATCTTTCACTCATGGCACCTCTTTAATTTTATCACCTCAAAAGTGCTGTGTAACTGTCATTTTCAAAATATCTTAGGAAATAATAAATACAGGTACTTCTTAAATCTTAGGTTCTGAGAGTTATTAGGGATCTGTAAAGGTTGTCTAAGTCACTTTAATGACTTTATTGATGTTCTGAAGTTTAATTTAAAGAAAACTCTCCTGCCCTTCCCCCTCATGCAGGTGAAAGGCAGTTGGAGTGGATCATTTGAAATCCAGGATTTGTAGTCAGATCAACCTGTGGCTTACATGTGGGCCAAGGTTGCTTCTGTTACAGCTCTAGCCTAGGGCAGATGGTGATTGTGAAAAAGTGAACATCCTTGACATTGGAAAGCACCTGTGCTGTATGCCAGATATTGCTTTTCAGCTTACTACTTACAAAGCTATGACTATAATACATGAGATGTTGTGTGCCAGGCACTGCTCTAATCCTTATAAGCATCCCTGTAAGGGTAGGTTCTACAGGTTGAGTATCTCTTATTCAAAATGTTTGCAACCAGAAGTATGTCAGATTTGGTTGTCTTTTTTTTGGGGCGGGGGAAATACTTGCATGTACACAATGAGATATCTTGGGGCTGGGACCCCAGTCTAAACAAGAATTCATTTATGTTTCATATACACATTATGCACAAAGCCTGAAGGTATTTTGTCAATGCTTTTAGTGCACTTGTGTTTTGACCATGACTTGTCACATGAAGATAGGCATGCAGTTTTCCATTGTGACATCATGCTGGTACTCAAAAAGTATCAAATTTTGGAGCATTTGAGGTTTTCGCAAGAGGGATCTCCAACCGGTATTATTGTTTCCATTATCCAAGATTCCAGAAATATTTAAGAAAATATTTATTTGAGAGAGATAGAAGCATTCCCATCTGCTGGTTCAGTCCCCAAATGCCCACAACAGTTGGGACTGCACAGAGACTGAAGCCAAGAACTCTTTCATATTACTTGAACCTTGACCACCATCTCCCACTATCCGCATTAACAGGAAGCTGGAGTCATTAACCAGATCTGGGAATTGAATCCAGGCACTCCAATGTGGGATGAAGACGTCTTAAGCGCTAGGTCCTAATACTACTACAAAGGGGATTAGGTTTCAACATGTGGATTTTGGGCAGACACCAACATTTTCAGACCATAGCATAAGCAGAAGAAAATGTTATTTAAAAACAATAAAAAGGAGGTAAGCATTGTGGTACAGCATATGCCATATTGGGATTTCCTAGCTTGAGTTTTATCTACTCTACTTCCAACATAGCTTCTGCTCATGTGCCTGGGAGGCAGCAGATGATGTCCCAGGTACTTGGATCCCTGCAACCCCTGTGGGAGACTTGGGTGGAGTTCCTGGATCTCAGTTTCAGCCTCAGCTGTTGGAGCAGTTGGGGTTTGAACCAGATCTCCATCTGATCCTCTGTCTCTCTGCCTTTCAAATAAATAAATAAATGTTTTTAAACCATAATGAGATGAAATAGAATGAGCAGTTCTATGCTGGAAAGATGACAGAAAGCTTCAGAGAGAGCTGCCTTGATGGGATGAGCAGGGACTTCAAAGGGGAAGACAGGCTTTGTGGTGAATATTTCAGACAGAAGAGCTAGAAGATAGGGAGAAGGGAGAAGTGATCTAGGGGGGCTCCCAGGTTTCTGGTTTGGGCAAGAGGGTTACTTTTCTTCTTAACATTAGTAAAAACAGTAGCCTAGCTCCTTGATGCAGATTGCTCCACTGGCTCAAACTTAACAAGGCTAACTTGAAGAATTTTTGGCTTTACAGGTCTCTTCTCGCACATAGATCATCCCCAGTCCTAGTTTTCTGACTCACATTTGGAACTCTTGGGCAGCAAGGAGTCCTTGGAGCAGGTGTTCAGCTAGCAGTTAAGATGCCTGCATCCCATATCGGAGCACCTGCATTCAGTACCCAGCTCCGGCTTCATGCTAATATAGACTCTGGGAGGCAACAGTGATGGCTTAAGTAGTTGGATCCCTGCCACCCACATGGGAGACCTAGATTGAATTCCCAGCCTTGGCCTGGGAGTGAAGCATTAGGAGAGTGAAACAGTGGATGAGATCACTCTGTCCCACCCCTTGCTTTCACTCTTAAATAAATAAAATGTGCTCTTAAGAGCCCTTAATTGGAAAATTTTATTTTTCATTGAAATTTCACTCTTTGTAGAAAAACATTCACTGTAGGAACAAGTCAAGTATGTTATATATGTCCAAAATGTGAATGGATAATCAGGCTAATATAAAAAGAACAGTGTATTTCTGGAACTATCGTTAATGACTTGTTTTTACATTATATATGCACAGAGTACTTCCAAATATATATCATGTCTGTTTGGTAACATGCAACTCTGAGTTGTTATTATACTACTTTACAGGTGAAGAAACTAAGACTCAAATAATTAATACTTGCCCAAGATTATAGAGCTAATAAATGCCAGAACCATTACTGTATTTGTTTTTTCTAATAACAAACCCTATATTTATTCCAATATGCCCTGCCATTTCTTCTACATAATAAAAAATACTATATTCTGAATGTGAAGAAGACAGTCAACAAATTAAGAAATGAACCATGGCCATTGCACTGTTCCCAGCATGTTATCTCTTGCTTCCAAACTGTTTATTGTGTTGAGGCGATTCTGTGAAAAATACTCATTCTTTTCAAGAATTTAGAGGTATTCATTATTTATTCTTGTGTGAGGAAGCAGGTTAGTTTGAGTTTATTTTGAGTTGTTACATTTCTGACAAATGATTAATTTAAAAGCTGTATTTATTTGAATGTTAGAATTCTTAAATGCTGTTCTGGTAAAAAATCAAAAAGTGCCTGGGTGAAAAGTCATTAATTAATCACTTGTTGAACAAAAACCAGATCAGAGTCCATTATGTCTCAGAAATTGTGCTTGGTGCTCTAGCTGCAAAACAGGTAACCATCCTTTGGCCTGATGGAGTTTCCAGTCTGGTAGGAGAGTTATTTGTCTAACTGCTTAATCAGTAAACAAATAAGTGAGTAATTACAAATTTGTGTTAAATGCAATTAAGGTAAGGAAGATAATGCTAAAAATGATATGATAAAGAACTCTGACCTAATACAGAAGGCAGGTCTTCCCCGACATCTGGTGTGAATTAGGAATGAATTAAATGAGGGCTTCAGCCGATCAGGGAACTTAGACGACACCAAGGACAGTGGTGCTCAAGGAAGCAGAATAAAGAAGCTGGGGCCAGACTACACAAAGCTGGGCTGCAGCATTTTCTGTGTATCCTAAGAACCATTGGGTGCCAATGTAAGAGTTTTAAATGGGGGTGATGGGGCCACACAGTCAGTTTGTGAGCAGTGAACTGGACTATAAGGGCCTGTTAGGTGGAAGACAGATATGGAGATTCATGTCCCAGAACTGTAGAAAGGTGTTACAGTGCAGAGATATTAAGAAGGTACAGCCAGTAGGACTGGGTGAAGGGGAAGTTAGAGTCTGAATATGTAAGAACAGAGTTCCAGCCTCTGCCAGGGGGAGAAGACTGGTTTGTGTGGGTTGAGGAGGAGAGAGCCTAAATTCTGTCTTGGACAAGTTAGAGGTGTATAATATTTTGAGTCATTCAAGTGAAAGTGTCAAGTAGGCTTTTGGATATATGAATCTGTGTTAATCTGTTTTTAGATGGTTTATTGAAGCCGTGAGCATGGGTGAGGGAGAAAGTATAAAATAAGAGGCCTATGGCTGAACCTTCAGGAACTCTGATAACTGATGTCCAGGTAGAGAGGGAATAAACCTGCAAAGGAGACTTATAATAGCCAGAGAGGTAGGGGAAAGCCAGGAAGTCACAGGAGCCCAGAGGAATACGGAGTGTCAAGGAGATGGCAGTTGGCAGTGTCCAGTGGTCCAGGAAATTCTATTAGTTGGGGAGCACTCTGAAACTACTATTACATATGGCAATGTAGTGGACATTTGGTGACTTTAGGCAAACAGGATGACCAGTGTGGTGATAGGGAAACGCCAACTGGATGGAGAAAAGCAGAGTGGAGCAGTTGATGGGGACAGGAGCAAACCAGTGTCCACATGTTCATTGGAAAAGAGAGAGGGCAGGAGCTCACCATGAGACAAGGAGTCAGTTGTGAGAAAGTTTTCCTTTCCTATGTTTGTTTTGTTGTGTTTTTAGAATGGGAAAGGGAGCATATGTCAGTATAGACAAGAAGATATCTCATTGAACAGGAGAAATTGAACATGGCAAGTGAAAAGAGAGCTACTTGAGATGTTCAGAATAACAGCATTCTAGAAAAAAACTCCAGGGCACCTCTAGCTGCCTTTGAAGTCAGTTTCTTCAGGGCAGTAAAGACCAGAGAAAGGCTTGTGCTAGTTTCTTAAGGAGTCAGTATTTTCAAAGAACATGGCTTTGTCAGTAACAACCTTCGATCATGTAGAAATCAGCTTGACTTCCCTTATTTTTCCAGGAGCTGATGAGGACATAGAGAGTCCAGAGCTGACAACATCTCGACCATTTCTAAAGATACCATTCACTAGTGCTGCTCCCAAAGTGGAAACCACAACACTAAAGATACAAAACAAGATGCCCGCCCAGACGAAGGTGCGTTTTTCCTTGCCTTGTGTCATCAGGTCATCAGGTCATTGTAAATGCTCCTCTTTTCTCTTTTTTTTTTTTTCTTTCTTTTTTTTTTTTTTAATTGCATAGAACAGTCCTTTTAAAAGGTGCTGTTTAAAGTTAGGGGCAAATGATTTTTTTTTTTTTTGTAAGATTTACTTTATTTCTTTGAAAGGCTGAACAACAGAGAGAGAGGGAGGAGAGACAGAGGCAAAGAGATCTTCCATCTGCTGGTTCACTACCCAAAGGACTGCAATGGCCAGGGCTGAGCTAGGCCAAAGCCAGGAGTCTAGAACTCCATCTGGGTCTCCTATGTGGGTGGCAGGGACCCAAGTATTTGAACCATCACCTGCTGCCTTCCCAGGCACATTAGCTGACAGCTGGATCTGAAAGGGAGCAGCCAGAACTCAAACTGGTGCTCCAATATTAGATCTGGCATTGCAGGCAATGGTTTAACTTGCTGTGCCACATGCTGGCCCAACCTGTCTTTGAAAGTCTTCATGAAAAATGGAAGTAAAAGGTAGTTTTTATGCAAAATAATTTTGACATACATGTAGTATTTTTTCATAATACACATTTTTCATGAACTTTTTTTTTGAAAGGTAGAGATAGACAGGGAGAGGGAGGAAGGGGGAGAGAGAGAGAAAGATCTTCCATCTGCTGGTTCACTCCCCATATGACCATAATGACCAGGGCTGGGCTAGGCCAAAGCCAGGATCCAGGAACTCCATCCAGATTACCCACATGGGTTGCAGGGGCCCAAGTACTCAGGGCATCTCCACTGCTGCTTTCCCAGCACATTAGCAGGGAGTAGGATCAGAAACAGAGGTCAGGACTCAAACTGGCACTCATGTGGACTGCTGACATCACAGGTGGTGGCAGCTCAACCTGCTGTACTACCACACTAGCCCTTTTCATGAACTTTTGGAAGACTCCCTATATACATGGATTTCAAAATTTTTTTGCCCAAAAATAAATGTCTTTAATTCCATTTTACATGAACTTTTTGAAATACCCTCATGTAAGTGTAAATGACTCTTTCTTATTCTTTATGATTATTTTGGCATTTAGCCAATTAACTACTTTTATCACCCATGCCTAACATATATGAATATTTTTCACATGGCACTCCTTCTTAAGTCCAGTTAAGAAGCAAAACCTTGTTGATTTGGCTTAAGCCAAGAAAAAAACATTTCTCCATTTCCTAGAGAGTGCTCTGATTTAAACCACTGTGAACTTTACATATGTTGAAGTGGGCAGTGGAATGAAACTCCAAGTTACATCTTGAAATTGTGCTTACCTCAGTAAGTCATTTCTCAAAGTTTCCTTGAGACCCCATCAGCAGTTTGGAAACTTTGATCTCTTACAATAATGACGAACCTGGGCACATCTGTATAAATGTACTTTGAGACCTGACTTATTAAGAATGAGGTCTTTGGCCTTAGAACAGACCAAATATAAAGCAAATGAAAACTGAGTTCATGATTTTGGCCTTTTTAGTTTATTAGATTTTGGCCTTATTATATTGCTGTTAGCTGACCATTTTTTAATAGGTAGACTATTTAAGTTGGAAAATGCATTTTAAAAGTCTGGAGAAAGCCTAAGTTTTACATCATGGGTCCAGTCAAATTTCTTAGCTTCTGTGCCATTCCTTATGGGTCATTAAGATTAAATGGGAGTGCTTGTAGCATTGGCACTTGAGACCTAGTAAGCATTCTGTAAGCACTGATTGCGTTTGGTAGAGCAGAAGAGACCAAGCCAGTTCACCAAATGAGCATGTGTGATAAGTGCAGTGGTGGAGTTTGCAGACAGTTCGGGGGTAGCATACTGCTTTTGAAAACATACAAACCCAAGTGTCCTCTTTTGGAATGCTCCCATATTTCTGATTAGACAGGAAGTCTGTGGAAGGCTGTTTTATACAGGTAGTGAGGGGCCTTCTCTGGAGCAGGGAGTGCCTCTCTGCAGGCAGAAACGTAAGTGGGCTTTTCATACCCTTACCCAAACCTTTTTTCTCCCTCCTCATCTTCAGTGTCCCCAGTGCCTGCGACCAGCCTGATGAATGACACAGCCAGATGGGTTTATGCTGATGTGGAGCTGCCAGGGCAACAGCCCTATCCAGACTGGTGTGCTCTCTGTAGGATTCAGAAGGGTTAGTCAGTGTTAGTGGCAAACTGATTTCACAAGCTGGGAGATAGGGAAAGAAACACTCTTTGAGGACCATGGCGGATATCCCTAGCATATGATGATGGCTCCCTGCATGGAAGCTCCTCCATCAGTGTCTAAACTGAATCAGTGTAAGAGGGGAAAAGTGGAGAAATGAGAAACATCAAGTGCAACTCGTAGTAGGATGGCTGCCTGCCAGAGTGTATATGTATAGTTATGCAGTATGGCTGTTGAAAGATGCATTTTTTTAAATATACGACGTTTGTTTGACCACGTTTATGATGAAATCTCTTGAAGTCAGTGACCATTAGGACTCCCTAGCTTGAGGCAAGGAACTCTGCTGGGAGAATTTTGGCTTTTAGTGATATAGCTGAATTCTAAGCAAAACCTAATTTGACATGGAGTTTTGTGGATTTGTTTATGACAGTGAATTGGAAATTGATTTAAATTTTCTAAAAATTGGCTTTAAGATAGTAATTGCATAAGATCAAGATGGAGAATAAAAGATATTTGGCAGATGAGTTTAGAAATTGAAGATTCCAAAACATCTTAATATATTTATATTCCTACTACCAAATTGTGTTCAGTATAGTAATAAAAATTCATCCATTCATGGTAGATTTGTTGAGTGCTCTTCATTATGTGTCAAACTCTTGTTCTAGGCCCTGATTAGGATGATATTGATAATGAATAAAAATGAAGATAGGGATTCAATTTTCCATTTTACAGTTACATGATACAACTGAATTAAACATTGCCTCTAGGATACCATTAGTGTAAATGTTGCTGTTGAATGGGTCTCACAGTGACACTAATGTCACCATTCTAGATACTCTAGTCTGCAGTAAATTTATGTGACTAAAAATTAAACAGAGACAATTATTGGTTCAAGCAGATCATCACTTGTCATCTTTGACTTCTAACTCATGTCCATGGCATCCAAACAATCAGACATGGACATGACAGATCTTTAATCAGTTTCATTTAGTGTTTGGTGCTGCCTCTGTAAAATTTCATTTTGTTCATGTATACAAATGTAAGGTATTTCAGATTAGATCTCTACAGTAGAATGATTTCTTCTTAGTCAAGCCTCTGCTTCCATATAATAAAACTTTTCAATAAAAAATAAATGATTGTTCCATGAGGCACCCTGAGGCTTGTGCACTGTGGACTATTCCTCCGAGTGCGGAGTGACCCCAGCCCTGGGGAGCCTTCCATCCATGCCCTGGATCCCCAGGATGCATGCTTCTTTGAGCCTCCTACTCAATCAAAAGCTGAATCACATGGGTCTTAAATGACTTTAGGGACTCAAAAAAATCTGAGATGATACCATGTGATTTTTCATAATAATGGACAAAGATGATACAGGTAAATTAAGCCCAATCTCAAATATAAAAGTTCAAAAAGTTAAATTTTTTTATAACAAAAATACAACTTCAAAAAGTTCAAGGAAGATAAAAATTAATTTTGTTGCAAAATTGCTTTTTGAAATCCAAATGCAGATTTTTTTTAAAGCTTATTTTTAATTATTTGAAAGGTAAAAAGACAAATAGATACGCAAATCTCCCATCTGTTGTTTCACGCCCCCCAAAATGCCTTCAAAAATCCAAAGCTGGGCCAGGCTAAGGCCAGGAGCTGAGAACTAATTTTGAGTATCTCAGGTGGGTGGCAGGAACCCAACTACATGAGCTGCCACCTGCTGCCTTCCAGGATTCATAATAGCAGAAAGCTGGAATTGGGAGTGGAGCCCAGACTCCAAACCTGGGCACTCCAATGCGGTATGCAAGTATCCCTAGTGGTGTCTTCACCTAGCCTAGACTTTTTGTGATACACATTTTCCAAGCACTTTTTGAAACCTCTCGTGTTACAGAGGTTATTTATGTCCATCTCATTTCCCATCAGAACTTGCATACCCCCTTTCCTGTTCACAAACCTCATCTACCACTTGATTTCTCTCTTCCTTTTCCTAATCTCTACTAGCAAAGCTTTTTTTTAAAAAAAGATTTATTTATTTATTTGAGAAGTAGAGTTATAGACAGAGAAAGGGAGAGAGAGAGAGAGAGAGATGTCTTCCATCTGCTGGTTCCCTTCTCAAATGGCCACAACGGCCAGAGCTGAGCCGATCCAAAGCCAGGAGCTTCTTCTGGGTCTCTCACACAGGTAGAGGGGCCCAAGCACTTGGGCCATCTTCTACTGCTTTCCCAGGCCACAGCAGAGAGCTGGACTGGAAGAGGAACAGCCTGGACACAAACTGAGACCCATATGGGTTGCCAGCACTGCAGGTGGATGCTTAGCCTAGTACGCCACAGCACCAGCCCTACAAAGCACTGTTAATGAGCAGAGAAAAGTTCCCTGGGTTAGAATGCAGGTAATCTATTCTCTGGTGCCTCGTCTCTCCTACCGGACAGCCAATTAGTGATGGGCATTCCATGAAAAGAATGGAGAAAACTCAGGCCTCTGATTTACCTTAGTACATGAAGGCCTGAGACTACCTTTCCTATTTTATTCTATCATAGTAACAGAGAGAACAGTAAAACTTTGGGTTCATGTTGTGCAACAGTGATTGACAATTCCTCTGTGGGTTCTGCTTTTTGTAATCATGACAGGTTGAAGTTTAGGCAGTGTAAGTTTTCTTGTGCTTGGGAAAAAAGGCATTCTTTATCATACACCATCTTCAGTGGAAACCTGGGTTCTCATCCACTGAGGCAGGGACCTGCTGCTCTTGCATACATAGAGTTCAAATGAATATACTTTGTATAGAATGTGATCCTTCCTAGAAATGAGGCTGACTGTAAAGCAACCTAAGAAGGTGAGGTCTTCAGGGCCAGCACTGTGGTGTAGTGGATAAAGCCACCTCCTGCATCCATCTGGCCGGTTCAACTCCCGGCTGCTCCACTTCCGATCCAGTTCTCTGCTGTGGCCTGAGAAAGCAGCAGAAGATGGCTCAAGTCCTCGGGCCCCTGCACCCATGTGGGAGACCTGGAAGAAGCTCCTGGCTTTAGATCAACACAGCTCCAGCCGTTGCAACCAACTGTGGAGTGAACCAGTGGATGGAAAACCTCTCTCTACCTCCCCTTCTCTCTGTGTAATTCTCACTTTCAAATAAATAAATCTTTAAAAAAGAAGGTGAGGTCTTCTTATGTTCTTAAACCCTCTAGACTTAAGAAGCAGGCTACCATTTTTGATGAACTCCAGCCTTCAGCAAGAAATCAATCACATGACTGGGCTGTGGCATGTTAAGTCCTAGTGGAGATGATTGGATGCTCTTAGGAAGAATAGTAGAGCTAAAAAGGATTATTGTCTTTACCGCCCAGTAGAGTTGACAGTGTTTTCATCCATAGTGTTGGCCGATAAGAACTTTAGTATGGTAGAGAACAGACACCACATTTGAACTGGACTTCCATCACCCAGTCATTCTCAAACCCATAGAATGTTTTGGAAAACTTTAAATAGCTAATAAAAATCAGTGTCATCCAATAGCTAAGATATGGAATCAACCTTGATGTCCATCAACTGATGACTGGATAAAGAAATCATGGTATATATACACACATACACTGTGGAGTACTGCTCATCTATGAAAGGAAGGAAGGAAGGAAGGAAGGAAGGAAGGAAGGAAGCAAGGAAGGAAGGAATCATGCCTTTTGCAAAAGATGGTCAGACAGCTATCACATGTTTTTCTGATTAGAGGTAAAATATAATGTATTGAAGCAAAACAGACTTTTTGAGAATCAATGATGGTTTTTAGCTCTTGTCTCTTTTGTTGAGGAACAATATTTTGTTTTGTTTTCTCTTCATATTATTTGTTGAACTCTTTTACTTAGGGTAGCATTAACCATATGACTATTAAGTATACTATAAAAAAAAGATCATTGTAAAAATTAGGAGTAGGAATTCGAGAGGAAGGTGGAGGAAGAGTTGGAGCATGGGTGGGAGGGAATTTGTGGGGAGTGCTGCTCATGCACCTGGGAAAGCAGCAGCAGATGGCCCAAAGTCCTTCGGCCTCTTCACCCATGTGGGAGACCCGGATGAAGCTCCTGGCTTCAGCCTGGCCCTGCCCTGGCCATTGCAACCGTTTGGGGAGTGAACCAGCCAATGGAAGATCTCTCTCTCTCTCTCTTTCTTAAAACTCACTTTGGAAAAAATAATTCTTAAAAAAAAAAAAGAACAGAAAAAGAAATGAGACTCCAAGGGAGAAATTTAAGAGAATAGAGACTCTCTTAAATTGATATGGGAAAACATAAAATATGAAATGTGCTAGAGAATAATTAGTTCCCCCACCCCCTCAAATATGGTCCCATTAATGGAACTAGAAAAGAGAGCTGATCTGATTGAGAAATTACTTTTTAGATTTGACATGTAGGGTGAAAAGTGATACAGCTGAGGGTAAATGTCTTGTGGGCTGCTGGCCAGGTAGGAGTAAAGGCTGACTGGAGATGAGGCTGTGAGAGTTACATAGATTTATAGTTTTGTATTGTGGAACTTCCAAAAGCCTGAGAATGTCCTTAATTATTCAGATGAGGAAACTGGTGCAGAAAAGTAGAATGGTTTGGTCAGAGTCCCACAAGAGCTACATGGAGAGCCCAGGTCCCCCTGAAGTTCTTGTCCAGGCTTCACTGAAGGTACAGGACTAAGTAGAGTAAACCTTTACAGAATAAGACTGAGGGGGCCTCTACAGGAACTATCATCACACTGCTGTGGGGAGCAAAGACATGAAGGAGTAAGGAAAATTAGCACCATGCAATTGGATTAAAGCAGCCAAAGGGAGACGCTAGCCTGAAGTCAGAGGAGTGGCAAGAAACTAGAGATCATAGGAGATGTCAACCAAACAATGTCATTGGAATTATGATAAAAATCACTGGCCGTCCATCTTGCCTGTTCATGTGATGGGTGTCGTGCAAATCCATGGCTCCTTGAATCCACCTTGGAACTCACACGTTGGAGTAAACATCAATGAAGTGATTATTCCAGTGACTTCCTAAGTGCATGACTGGAAGAAAGGGATCTCCAGAATCTAGTCTTCTGGTAGCCCTTTCTTTCCAGCATATGCTTAAAAATTGATATAATGTTTCTCTTTCTCCCATCCCAGTCACCGGAAGAAATTGATAAGGAAAAAGTTCACCTCTCTGACTCAGAAAGGAAAATGGACCCAGCTGAAGAGGGCACAAACGTGTTCACCGAGAAACACTCAGACAATCTGTTTAAACGAACAGAAGTCCTTGCAGGTGAGTGGCTGGTGGCCATCTGGGGACAGGCTGAGTAAGTGATGTTCAGAGGGGCGGCCAAGCTTGCTGAGTGGCACCTTCCTGCTGAATGCAGTCTTGAGAGCCCTTTATTGCATGGTGAAAGATTTGGCAAGCATCCTGTTTGTCTTCTACCAGCAGCATCACCCATTGGGTAGGAGTGGAGAGTGGGAAGTCACAAAGAAGAGGAAAGTTAAGAACTGAATGGTGCAGAACAGCAGGGCATAGCAGGTTGGCAGGATATGAAGACCAGTCAGTCTTGCTTCAGGTCATCCTGATTTCAAAATAAAGAGAAAGATAAAGGTCTTCGGGAGTGGAGGGCACAAGTGGGAGGTGGTTGACAGAAATACAACCCAAAGTGTTAAGAATGTTGACTCTATATGTAGCCTGCATAAGTACTAACACTAGGTTTCAAAGGGGAATATTTGCAAGATAAAGCAATACCTAATCCTTGGAAGGATAGACTCAGAAGCCAGACTAGAAAGAATTTCCATGCTTTTTTCATCTTTACACTTAAAACTTTTGAGTCAATGATATCCTGTGTTGTGTTTCACTGAAAAAGCAGTGGGGTGATGGAAATATGAAATGTGAATACTGAGAAGATGACGGCATTTTAAGTGCGGGATTAGTTGAGGTCACAGGCAGATTTTTCTTATTGAAGCTTTTGGGTAATACTAATACTAATCAAAGAAAGTATTGTACCTTCCTGAGGAGTGTCAGATTTGCATAATTACCTGGTTACTTTACTGAATCCAGTTTTTAAAAAAGTTTAGATTTTCAAATTAAGCCTTTTATAAAAGTGTAAATAGATTGGGCTTGACAAAGTAAAGTTCTGCAGCCTTGAATCTCTTCTAAAAGCAATCTTTCTTCTGGCATGTTTCAGCTGTCATTGCCGGGGGAGTCATCGGCTTTCTCTTTGCAATCTTCCTTATCCTGCTGTTGGTGTATCGCATGAGAAAGAAGGATGAAGGCAGCTATGACCTTGGAGAACGCAAACCATCCAGTGCTGCTTATCAGAAGGCACCTACTAAGGAGTTTTATGCATAAAACTTCCACTTAGTGTCTCTATTTGTGAGATCACTGAACTTTTCAAAATAAAGCTTTTGCATAGAATAATGAAGATCTTTGTTTTTTTGTTTTTGTTTTTATTTTCATTAAAGAGCCATTCTGGCACTTTAATGATAAAATCCCATTGTATTTAAAACTTTTCATGTATTTCTTTAGAACAACATAAAATTAAAATTTAACATCTGCAGTGTTCTGTGAATAGCAGTGGCAAAATATTATGTTATGAAAACCTTCGATGTCCATGAAATTGGTTTAAACTTTTATGTGCAAATATGAAAAGATTGTTTTTATACTATGGATTGAAGATGAGAGCTGTTTTTGTTTGTGTCAGCATGTCTGGGATTGACCTTACCAAGTGGGTCTTATTTTGTTAATTTATCTGTTGTCCCCCTCTTTTCCTCTGCCCTGCCCTCTGTCCCCTTAAAACCAAAACCAAATCCTATGCCTTTTGTAGCTGTCATGGTGCAATTTGTCTTTGGAGAATTCAGATAATGGTAATTTAGTGTATATGTGATTTTCAAATATGTAAACTTTAACTTCCACTTTGTGTAAATTTTTCAGTGTCAGACTGTCCATTTTACACTTGCTTTATTTTTCATTACCTGTAGCTTCAGGCAGATTTGCAAGAGCAAGTTAATGTGTAAAATTGGATTATTACTACAAAACTGTTTAGTCACATCTGTCCAATCAGATCTTCTCTTGGGAGGATTGGATGGGAGTTACTCAGCAAATCCAAAGATGCTAACAGTATTTTGAGAAGTTGCTGCAGATTTCTTTGGCCACTGTATTTGTTAATTTCTTGCAATTTGAAGGTACGAGTAGGGGTTTAAAGAAAAAACCAGTTTTTGTTCTAAAAAATGCATTTAAGTTGTAAACATCTTTTTAAGCCTTTGAAGTGCCTATGATTCTATGTAACTCGTCGCAGACTGGTGTTAAATGAGTATATATAACAGTTTAAAAAAAAAGTTGGTATTTTATAAGCACAGACAATTCTAATGGTAACTTTTGTAGTCTTATGAATAGACAAAAATTGTAATTTGGGAACATAAAAACTACTGAATAAATCATGTGGCCTCATATTGAAAATGTCACTGTTATACATTTTGTACATTTTCGATCAAATGTACAACTCCCTGTTGCTAATGAATGTCTGCCCTCGAGGATGATGTGGGTTTGATTTCTAAGTGTTCCATGGTGTCTGTAAATCAAAACCAAAGAGCCCATCAGTGAGGCTGTTTATTACCAGATTCACTTCTGGACTGGCCGGAGGAAATCTGAGTGTATCATCCTCTGTGTGTTTGGGTACAGTTATGGGAAGGCTACCAGGGAATTTTGAAGTTTACAACCTTTATAGGATAGCTGATGGCAATGTTGAGACAGATGCCTGCTTTTGCAAACCACGCTGAAGACCATAAATTCCAAAGAATTGCAGGAGACTTTCTGGAAGCCAATCTCTGACAGTCTCACAGACTGATTTACCTTTGAGCCTGTGCTCCAAATCTCTCCTGAAGCTTAACTGAAGAACGAATAGATGGCATACCATAGCTCACATTATGGGGAAGGAGAGATGGCAGAGGAGCTCTGTGGCTTAAATGAGGGCCTTGCTGTGTAGGAGGGAAGTGACTGGGAAGAGTGATGCCTGAGGAGGAGGTGGAAGTGTGAGGGCACCTTGGCTGGGCACTTACCTGTACCGAATATTTCCTTTTGCTGTTTTACCTTTAATTTTGTTTTCAACTATGAGCCACTGTAATAGGAAGAAGACAGCAAAAGCAGCAACTTTTCCAACTTGCCTTTAATAAAATTTGACTACTTCATTTAGAGAACATTCTCTAGAATTGCCCCAGAACTCATTTTTAAAATGACCCTTTTTTTTTTTTTTTTTTTGCAACACTTGGAACAGCGTTTACTTAAATCTTGAATGGCCTTAAATCTCAGAGTCCCACCCCATCACTTACAGAATCAATTCATTTTATTTAGAGTGATTTTAAAAGCCACACAATGTCCCTCAATTGCAGAGGCTGAGAAGAATGTAGTGGGTATACCTCTTACTGTGCAAAGGCAGAGTGAAATTCAATTCACAGAATAACAACTGCTTGGAGTATCCATGCCAGGAAAAGAAAATTTCTGGCAAATATTTTGTCACTGCTGTAAAGCAAAATATTTGTTAAAGTGCCAAAATAAAGTCTGTCATGCCGAAAGTAAATCATTGTATAGACTGACATCCAGTTTTCTTCAACTGTACGTTTTTTGCTCAGTTTATTTTGATTTCTTAGGTTCAGTAAATACTATAAAAAGTGTTAGTTATGATTACTGAGTCCAGGAAAATTTTGGTAAAATATAAATATTAAACTCAATGTGAAAATGTCCTGTTTCCTTATCCACATGTAAATGCTTTCCCTTGTGTGCATATGGCTTTGTGCTTGAGAGATTTTCAAAATCCACCCATTATGGGGGAAATAAGATGAGCTTTTATATTTTTTAAAAGGTTTTTTTTGTGTGTGCAGATGCATAGTAGTTGAACTTTGGGTTAGAACTTGGTGAATGAAAGTGAATTTAGGATGAACATGATTTTAGAACTTGCCAACCTTTTAATGTTAAAAGTTGGTTATTTCACATCAGATGTTTAGGGAATTAAGATTTTTGGTAGTGCACTCTTTTCTTGGCAAATTAGATGAAATGCCCTTGCTTATTGAGGGTATACAAGGGCACATCAATAAAGTTAATGAAATTAAGGCATAAGTTATTTTTGATGCAAAAAATTTTTTGAACTCTGCATATGAGGTTGTCTTAAAAAATTTCATGGGTTTCTAACAATTTTGTACCAAAATAAACATCTATTCATTTCATTTCCCATGAACTTTTTGAAGTACCCCTGTAGTTTGTTTGATAGAGAATCTAGGAAGATAAGCTAAATAAGAACATAATTACCTTACTCAGATGGCGGTAAAGAAATTAATATGCCTACACAGGGGTTGGTTCCTACCAGAAAAGACAATAATAACTTTGTAGTTTTTAGGCACTCGCTTCTTAGACATTTTGAAATGTTGAGGAAACTTTTCAAGTGAGGAACAAAAATATAAAAGCTAAAAGAATTGTAAGCTTAATTTTATAACCAGCAGCTTCTTCAAAACCCTTATTATATAATGGAGTGGTAAGAAAAAATATTTTTAAGCATTGGGTTAAAGGCGGCAATGGGTAATGACTGTAAGGCACACAGTCCCTGGCGTGAACGTCCAAGTTCTGAGCCTCTAGCACACAAGAGTGAGATCTAATTAATTAAGCCAAAAGGTCAACAGAGTGGTCTAAACTGAGTGACCACTGAAGTTCTTTTCAGTGCTGATAGTTTCTGTCAGTAATGACATTTGGGATTTGGCTGTTTCTGGGGAGTTAGGTTCAGCCAGCATAGGAAACTTTAAAATGGGTAGAATCTCTGTCTGCCTTTCAGTGGTAAAAACACTGTCAACATGAATCCTGTCCCTGTCTGTCTCCTAACTCTGGATGGTGTCGCCCTTAGGATTTAGGGTGCTAAGATTGCATTCCTTTTTGTTTGTCTATCTGCTGTTTCTGTTCTTCAGCAGGGCTTTGACCAAGGAATTGCAGTGGCTGTGGGAGCTACTTGGTTTCCTGTGAGTAACTGGGAGTGGTAACCCAAGCTGTCCATCTGACTCACAAGTAGCAAAATGAAGCTTTAGATTTTGGTGCTTCAAATACCCCAAGCACAAGATACATTCATCTGACATCTGTTGGCAAAACAGCATTCAAGCCACAAATGTTTGTATGTGCACATCACAAGTTCAACAAATATTTGCCTACTGATTATGCCCTGGTCACTTCAAGAAAGGGGTTTAGTGGTGAATATATAAACAAACACCCTGTCTTCATTCTGCTTTCATGGATTTAGGGAAATAAATAAATGAAACTAACAAGTGGAAATGTCCAGTTGGTGGTGATTGCTGTGGATAGACGTAATATGGGCTGATGTAAGGGTCTGAAGGCTTGTAACAGCCCAGGTGAACTAGGTGTGCTGTGCTAACAATCTCAAAGTCTCAGTAAGTTAGAGCTGCAAAGCTTGCTTTCTTACTCTCACTATATGTCCATAGGGCCACCGGCCAATGGGATAACTATTTCCAGGAACATGTGAGTCACGGAGGTAGAAGGAGAAGCTCTGAAATACACAGTGGCTCTTAAACTTTCCTCCCATCAGCAGATCTGATATATGTCACACCCACCCACAACTGATTGGCCAAAGCTAGTCATGGGGCCACACCTAAGTTCCAGGGGGCCAAGTAGTACAAACCTACTTTTGTGCCCTAGCAGAGAGAGAGAGGATATTTGTGAAAGCTACAATGACCACTATGGGAAGGTCCTAAGGGGCGGAACAAGCTTGGCATGTTGAAGAGCAGGGAGAAGACTGTGGCTGGTGAATGGGGAAACAGGGATTAAAAAGTCGAATCATTCCCTAACTGGTCTTCATTCTTCCACTTTTGTTCTTTTACCTTTTATTCCCACAAAGAAGCTGGATTTGGGGCAGGCACTGTGTCTTGGCAGGTTAAGTTGCTGCTTGGGAAGCCAACATCCTGTGTTGGAGAACCAGTTTGAACCCCAGCTGCTCCATATCTGGCCCAACTTCCTGATAATGCACCTGGAAAGCAGTGGGTGATGGCTCAAGTGCTTGAGTTCCTGCCATTCACATGGGAGATCTGGCTCTTGGTTTCAGGCTGGCCCATGCCTGGCTATTGCATTTGGGAAGTGAACCAGATTCATTCTCTCTCTCTCTCTCTCTCTCTCTCTCTGTGTGTGTGTGTGTGTGTGTGTGTGTCTGTGTCTCTCTGCCTTTCAGATTAACAAATATTTTTTTCAATAAAGAATCTAGACTGATCTTATATAAATCAGTTTATGTTTCTTTCATCAATGGTTCCCCCAGCACTTAGAAGAAAGTCCCTGCTTCTTTATCCTTGGTCTACAGTAACTGTCCTCCAGATAATGTATGATAAGGGGACTAAGAGAGGGCATCATGGCCACTTTGGTCATTATAGTAACTTAGGGCAGAAAGGATGGTGGTTTGGCCTAAGATGATCACAGTAAAGATGGAGAGGAACTGTTGAGGGGGGTAGGGTTTTGTGAAAGGGTTATAAGGAGTAGGAAAAAAAAATCAAAGATGACACCCACATTTTTGGTTGAGTGGGTGGTGACTCATGTTTTGAGAAGGGGAATACCAAAGGAAATTGGCTCTTGAATCAAGAGTTCATTTTGGCCCATGTTACATTAGGAAGAACTATTGGATACCCAAGTGGAGATGACAGGTAAACAATTGAATGTAAGAAATTGGAACTCAAGGATGAGGTCTGATAGTAATTTAGGAGTAGTGTCCATCAGTTGCCTCTTGGCATTGATTCATTCCCTACTCCTCCCTGCTCTGCTTTGTGTGGGTTGAGGGAAGGAGGGTTGGAATGAAGGGAACATGGGGTTCACAAGATCGACCAATACAAGTCCTTGTCAACAGACTTATGGAAAATTTGGCCAATGAGAGGCACTGGCAGAAGACTTCAGGCAAGAAAGTGAGAAAAGCCAGAGGGCACTTTCCCCTTCCTCTGCTGTGGACAGCATCAGTGCATCTCCTCTGTGGAGATTTCCTGCTACTCAGCCCCTTCTCCATGGTCCCAGAGCCCCCTGTTTCTAAACCCTCATCACCCCACTTTTGCTGTCTCTCTAGCCATAGGGACAGTAGCAAATTCCTGGTGTTGCTGTTTTCTGGGACATTTGAGTCTCTCCAGTTTTTCATCACAGTTTTTCCAACACCTGTGCAACTGACTCCGGTATTTAATTCTCTCCATTGCATTACACAACATAAGTCCTATTTTCCTTCCTGGACCCAGTCTAACAGCATAGAAATGAACAGCATGTAGACAGCGATGACAATGGATGAGATTATTTGTAGACTAAGGAGACAGAGAAAGAGGATGGTCCTGGGACTGCCTTTAACAAAGCCTGCACCACACAGATCACATCTTTGAAAAAAAATTATAAACATATTAAAGTAGCCACTTCTTTCTGGTCATTAATAACATAAAATATGAACTGTTTTTAAAACAGAACGAAGTAATTGGGCAGAAGACTAAGAGCTCTGTGCATAGCCAGGAAATATCTGTGTTTACAATGGGAATATGTCAGCAAGCAAAGCAATAAGTAATTCTTCCACTTGTAGCCTTGTCCTAAGGTCATTGAAAGCAGGATTTTTGTCTCCTTAATGACATTCTGCTTAGGTAAATACCAGAGTAAGCTTATATTTCCTCTGTCAAGAGCAGTTGGAGGGAAATGCAGTAAAGATAGATGATTTGGTTCTGTGTAGGGATCATGAGAGGTTTCCTTTGCTGATACCTCCACAGCATGATCCTGTTTTCTATGTGACTCTTTACTTCACATGTGGGAAGGATAGTACCACCTATCACATTGACTTGTGGGACTTCAAGGAAGCAATGGGGCGATGCACTTGGCAGTAGAGATCCTCTACACAAGAGAGCTCATTCACTCATCCCTATAATGCTTCCTGGACACTTACTGTTTGTCAGGCACAGTTGTAGGTACTGGGAAGAGACACAAAATAAGAAAGTATGTAAAATAACAGAGAGAAGGTGACATTTGAGCAGAGTTGGTGAGGGATTGAACCATGGTGGGTGGAGGAGGGGAGGCTGGGGATTTGGGGATCTAAGAAGCATTCCTGGCAGAAGGAACAGCAAGATGCAAGGCATTGGGTGGGGTGGGAGGAGCAGTGAGCTGAGTAGAGTGGTAGACAGTCAGTGAAGCACCCACAGGCCAAGAGTAATAGTATATTCATCTCCTCATAGCCATTGCAATGACCTTGGAGAGCCATAGCAGGATTTTGAGTGAAGGAGTAACGCAATCTGATGCATGCTTAAAATTTGTTCTTCAATTTCAGCAGGCACAGAGTCACCAGGAGGACTTGCAAAAACACAGATTTCTGGGATTCACTCCTGGAGTTTCTGATTTGGTAAGTGGGTAGAATTTGAGAACTTTCATATCCAATAAGTTTCTCAGATACGGCTGCAGCTGCTAGTCCAGAAAACTCCTCTTCAGGAATCATTGTTTCAAGGGGGATTTTTTTTTTTAAAGATTTATTTATTTGAAAGTCAGTGTTACACAGAGAGAGGAGAGGCAGAGAGAGAGGTCTTCCATCCACTGGTT